GGCTCCTAGGCTTAGGAGGAGCCATTCCTCAGGGAACAAGCATTCTCCTCAGACCCAGTGTGTTGGGCCCAGGACCATGGACACGGGCCCAACTCCTAAGAATTAACTCAGGAGGGGCACAGGCCCAGGTGACCCACAACATGAATCATTGTGCCTGGGATCAGCATGAATGCTCTGATGGCCTATGTGAGCCCGTCCAAAGGACCTGAACTGAGTTATGAAAGGTGGGAGGGCTTAGCTAGGCCAAGAGTAGGTAGATTCCTGGGAGAGGTAGAGGCTCTGATCTCAGCTCCTTTGAGGAATGGAAGGAGGCCAGGGACCAGAAACACTGCTACTCAAAGTGTGGACCATGGAAACAGCAGTGTCAGCATCAGCATCAGCATCACCTGAGAGCTCATTAAAAATGCAAATCTCAAGCCTCACTCCAGACCTGCTGAATCAGAATCTGTGTTTTGACAAGGCCTCTGAGCAGCATTGGATTAGAAGTGAGTGAGCAGGGAAAGTGGCACAGGAGGGATTGGAGCTGACATGTGGCAGGAAGTTGGGAGGACAAAGAGGCCTTTGGGCCACGTTAATAACTCCCGCTTTTACCTCAAAAGCAATAAAGAAAGATTTCAGGGCTTCAGTAGCTAAGTGGTGAGTCAGGTTCAAATTGAAGATCAGCTGCTGTGTAGAAATGGCCTGGAGAGGGACTAGAGAAGAGGGCACCTTTAGGAGGAGGATGAAGTGGTTCAAGCCACAGATGCCAGGGCTTTGGCTGGAGGTGGAGGCTGTGGTGGTGGAGAGAAGGGACTAGAAGGAGAGCAATACTAGAGCCAGTGACAAGGTGGCCAATCAACTCTCAGAGGGATCCAGAAGGGATCAGGACTACATCTCAGTTCCTGCATGGATAGATGGGTGGTTGGGAGCCATCATGAAGACAGGGTCTATGAGAGAACATCAGATGAAAGCCATGAGTTCAAATTCAGATGGGTTGAAATTAAGTGGGGATGTCAGATAGACAGCCCCAACTTTCTCCAAGATCTCAGGGAGAATAACCAACTCTGTGTCTAGGAAGCCAAGTGCAACGATCACTAAGATGGTCCCAATTGGAGGACAGACGAGTGATGGCACATCTCCACCCCAATGGCAGAGATCAGAATCAGGTACTTTGAAGGGGCCAGGCTGGGAGAATTGTTAACTGGGACAGGGGTGAGGAGGATATGGAAGGCCATCTCCTCCATGCTCCTGCCTCTGGGGTGAGCCATGGCAAAATTGACAACTAGAGAAGCCTCGCTCCATGCAAGATCTTCCACACCTAGAACCTGGGAAGATCTCTGGTTTCCTCCCTCCCAGGCTCAGGGGCTGAGGCTGCTCCTCTCCAGCTCATGTCTGGCATATCTCAGTCTCTGATCCACACTGGGCTTCTGAGGCCCGGGAATCCCTTTCCATCATTGTCCATCCACCTTTAGAGCCATGTTCTTCTCATAAGCTATCTTTCTGGTGGATGAGGGAATAGAAATGCCCTCTATACCAGTGGGCAGGGGTGGCATCATGGACCAACAGGGTTGGGCCTCCTCTGATAGCAGGTAGTCAGCCCCAGGATCATGGACAGAGGCTACTAGCACATAACTTCCAAAGTCCAGGAAGACCAGCCTTGAGAAGGACCCCTCCATGTTCTAGCTTAAGGGGTAGGAGATGCCAGACAGGAGACCCTAAAGCTGACCACTGCCCTGTCTGTTCCAGAGGAGAGCTCCCCTCAAGTATTACAGAAACCCTACTCTCTGTCATCTTGTGAACCTCTGCGGAACCAACCACTTGAGCCTCTAAGGATGGATGATGACTTCTGGGGCCCTACAGGGCCTGTGGCTACAGAGATGGTTGACAAACACAGGAGTCTGTACCGGTGAGTGACAGGACTCTGGTGTGCCAGGCTAGCCTCCCCACCCCAGCCATCCCCACACTGGATCCCAATAGACACTCAGCACCCATTTATGATCGATTGGGTCTTTTCTCATTGTTGAGCCACCAAGCAGAGAGACAGGGCTGCATTAGTACTTTTATTATGGAAACAGAAGTTTTATTATGAAAAGTTGCAAACAACAAAGAAAACTGTTCCAAGGACTACCACTTACTCATTACCCAGCCTTAACAACCATTTTCCCAAATTTGTTTCAACTATTCCCTTTCCCCTTCTTTTGTTGTTATACTATTTTAAATACAAGATATCACGTGATTTTATCCATATATGATTTGAGATGAATTTTGAAGAATACAAAGTAACCACAATACCATTGCCATAACCACAATGCCATTGTCATATCTAACAACATTTACAATAAGTCATTTTCATATCATCTAATACCCCATCTGTATTCAATATGCTCAATTGTCCAAAATATGTCCTTACAGTAAGTTTATTCTAATCAGGATCCAAATCAAGTCCTCTCATTTTATTTGGTTTGTTATGTATCAAAAATCTCATTTAAATCTCTTTTCATCTACACGTTCTTGCTTTATTAGCATCTGCTATGTACAAAGTACCATACCAGTAACAAGGAGCCATGAGATGAATATGGAGCCATGCCTTCCAAGGGTTCCAAGGCTTAAGTAATGAATATCTATAATTTTAGTTCTGATCTCTTACATAGCACATTCCCATTCATTGTCACAGACATGATCTCAGCTGGGCAACAATATTACTCACAACTTACACACAGAACCTGATATCCTAGAAACCGGGTCTATACCAACAGGGAACCTGGGGAATGTCTCTGTAAGTTTTATTTTAAGTTCAAGTGGTTATCATTAATATCACCACGTAGATTTTTATTATTTAAAATTAGGCCCTTTAAAAACAATAACACTTGCCTGTTCCATTATTATTAATATTATTATTACTATCATTATTATTCTCTTCATTATCACCATTATAGAAATAGCTAACCACACCCATGCAAGTATTAATCCGTCAGCACACATTAGGTCACTTATTACTCACAACTCTAAGAGATGGTGTTGCTATTACTTTTACTTAAAAATAAGAAAACTGCAATTAGGGAGGTTAAATTACTTGCTCAGGGATCCACAGTAGGGAGAAGAGGGGCCAAGAATCAACTCAAATACCTCTGGCTGTGACATCTGAGCTTGTAGTCACTCTACTACATACACAGTGCACTGCATGGGATTGGGCATCCAGTAGATTGTTTATGAGCTTGTGTGGAGTGATTAATTCGATGTCTACCTCTCTCTGCTATCCCCAGAGTTCACTTCCCTGTGGCTGGTTCCTACCACTGTCCCAACGTGGGTCTCTACTTTGTGGTAAGAGAGCCAGTGACCATCGAGTTTGAATTCTGTGTTTGGGACCAGTTCCTGGACCAGATTGTCCCACAACACAGCTGGATGGTTGCAGGGCCTCTTTTTGACATCAAGGCTGAACCAGGAGCTGTGGAAGCTGTGTACCTCCCTCACTTTATAGCCCTCCAAGGTAAGTGAGAGGGAGGTGTGGGGGAAGGTAATGGTGGTGAGAATGGGCTGGAAATGGCTTCCAATGGCAATATCCTGAGGGAAAGACTTGGGGCTTCCTTAGACTGACTAAGGGGATGGGGCTTTAAGGAAATGGAGAGAGCTTTCTTTCTCATTCCACAGTGATCTGGGCATATCTTTTGTGAAACATTTTTCTCCCCAAGCATCATAATCATTTTTGCCTGAATTACTTGAAGATTCCCCTCAATAGAAAGTGGTCTCCTCGACAACAATAATAGCTATCATTTATTTTTTTGTTTTTTTTATTTTTTTATTGCTTAAAGTATTACAAAGAGTATTACATATGTCTCCTTTTTTCCCCTGCCCTTGACAATCCCCTGGCCTCCCCTACCCCCCCCCCCCCCCCCAGAGACATATGTCCCTTGGTTATGCTTATATGCATGCCCACAAGTCCTTTGGTTGATCTCTTACCACCCCCCCCCTGCCCACCAACCCCTCCCCGTCTTCCCACTGTAGATTGACAGACCTGTCCCACGCAGCTCTGCCTCCGTACCTATTTTTGTTCAAAGTTTCAAAGGGTCTTTAT